ACAAGCATGCTTGTTTATTAGACAAGGTGCTAAGAATGGCTTGAGTGAATAATACTACAATTTTCCTTCCTTAGATCACCCTTGAAGGTAAGTCACTTAAGATTATTCAAAGCTAGGCCCAGTGACAGGCAAATGTAGCCCTAATAAGGCTCTATCTCAGAGAAAAATCTTTTTGTAAGAAGCATTGGAATAGACCAAAAGAAAGCTTTAATCCATGAAAGCAAATCAGGCATTTCACAGATATGAAAAATAAAGTTAGCAGCAACCCAGTGGTAGTAAATTACTCAGTCGTTAGGATTAAAGTTAATGTGAATAAGCATTTCCATCCTGAAACATCTAATCAAAAACACTAAATTACAACTGAGAACTTAAATAGGACAAAATCAGCCACAAAGTTACCCAAAAGTTCCCAAAGCCACCTCCAATTTGTATTGCCATACCTTAGTCCCCAGAATGTAGACTACAGGCATATACTACCCTAGCTGCCTGAGGAATTTTAAAAATACATATTACAAGACAAATGGGCTATAAACCAAGATATTAAATGTACTCAACATTACTGAAGTTTGAATTAAGATCACTCTCATAGCAGCAAGCTCCTAAAACCCCCATTATGATACAGAATAGCAAAGAATTTTGATAAGCCTTGGAAAATAAGTTATACAAAGCGATAAACACATGAATGTGTTTAATGCTTACTATTTTTCCAACCAAGGCAGATTCTCATGAATGATGATGGCCTTCCTGAGTTTTTATCCTCTGGTAACACATTACACAATTACAACCCCAGTGAAGCACTGATGAAATTAACCCCCAGAGGTTTCTAACTAAGAGCAAGTTTAGAATCCCTTAATGAATGCTTTCAAAATTATGTCTTTCTAAAGTTGATTTAGTAAGATCTCACACTGGTATATATATAAAAATATATTTTTAAGAATATATTTTAAGAATATATTCTTAAAAAAGCCAGAATTTTCTGAAATAAAAATGTCCTGTCAAACTTACCTACACAACAGCTCTTGTATACAATACAGCAATAGAAATTTCTATTAAGAACTACAATGCAGCTGGGTTTGGTGGCACGGATCTGTAATCCCAGCAGGGAGGCAGAGGCAGGATTGTTCTAAGTTTGAGGCCAATGCTATAAGTTAAACCAAACTTCAAAAAGTAAAATGCAAAAATAAAAACATTAATAAAATTTGCACAATCAAGAAGCTGGGCATACTGGCCCAGTCCTTTAATCATCATAATCTAGCATTCAGGAGGCTGAGACGGAAGTGCCTTATTCCAGATCAACCTTTTTGTTGACACCCTGCCTCAAAATTTAAGCTGGTTAAGATGGCTCATAGTGCATAAAGGCGCTTTCTGAGCTCAATCTTCAGAACCTATGGTAAAGGTAGGAGACAAACCTGATCCCAGAGGTGCTTGTGACTTCCACACCATACAAAGTGCTCCCTCTCACCAATAGCATCCCAAGAACTCAAAAACCAAACAAACAAAAAACCAAAAAAAAAAAAAAAAAAAAAAAAAAAAAAAAAAAAACCCTGAGAATTGATTTGAATGTTAACAGGCACTTGAACCCAGGAAGCAACAAACATGTAAAGCTTGACAATGTAGTTACAGATAGCTTTCTCCAGTGCTGTGAAGAATAACTCAACTTAACCTTTATGAGAATAACAAAGATGGAATTTAAGACAGCAGATAAGCATGAGAAAAGATAAGCCTCAAAGATTCAAGAAAAAAACAAAAGGAACCCAAAACAAATCAAAAACACCACCCTACAGGACAAACCTATCGTCCTGTGAAGCTTGAACTTTGTACTTTAAGACAATCCCAGCACTTAACCAACACATAGCAGTTTCTAGCCCATAATGAAAACTACCTAAGAATTAAATACATTCCAGTCTTAATTTACAAATTAGCTTTAACATTAAAATCAGACTAAATCCTCATTATTTCTATGAGGTAGAAATCAGCATATCTCAGAAAAAAACATTCATTTAGTATGAATTGAAATGGTCCAAAAGACATTTTTTAGTGTTTTTGGAGATGAACTACCTTATTAGAAACCCATTACTCACTAGTTGTGTGACTGAACAAGTCAACTCAACTTCTGTGTCTGTTACCTCATCCATAAAATGGGAGTATCTCACATGGCTGTTTTGAGGCCTACTACAGAAGAGACCCTATGTTAGGTCTTAGCTACCACAGAAACCTGAATGGTATAAAAATGCAGTGGTTACCAGAGGAATCGAGAACTAGAAGGCCTGGGTTCTAGTCTCAACTCTGCTACATTAACAGCTGGATGAGGTTTTTGTTTCTTTTTTAAATTTAACAGTGACTTAATTCTTACTTCATAGTGAAGATATCAACTGCACCTAATTTTCCACATTTGTTGTAAAAAAAAAATTACAAATTATTGTTTAAAAGTTATGAAACATTGCAAATACTTCAAAATAAAATTTTTGGCTTAGCTCTTTAATGTAAGTTCTCAAAGTTCCCCAAATATCTAACGTTCATTTTTGCTGTACAGCAGCAAAATTTCTTAAAGCTCCCAAAACAGATTTGGAATTCAGATTTTCAAATGCCTGTTTAATAACAGGACCACACTAGAATTTGGTCCAAATAACAAATACAACAAGAGAATAAATGTAAGGTTATCTGGTCTAAAAAACAGTCAAACAAAAACATTAAGAATAATTATCTATGGAAAATTAAAAAAAAAAAAAAACTTGCTCCAATTGATCACTAAAGCTTACAGTGGTATAATACAAATTTTAATATAATACAGAGAACTACAGGCATGTTAACACTTGTTGGGGGAAATCACAAGAATTCAAAACAGGGAGCAATAAAAACAACTCAAGACAATGGCTAACTGGCTCCTTAATTTTAGAGAAATGATGCCTTAAGGAAAAAAAAAAGCATCCTCTTTCTGAACTTTCAAAAACTATGCCTGCATCTGGGTGCCATTTTAGAAAAAGTCTCATGATTCTGACAATATATTGGGGTGGAAGGATCAAACAGGTAAGTTGGAAATATTCTACAGGTTGAATCAGTGATGTGGCATATAGTTCTCTAATGTAGAAAGTTTACATACCAAGTATCAACACATAATTCTTCAAACTTAAAAGATTTGCTTTCTTTTGTTATTCCAGCATCTAGAAAAATTCCTGGTGTCAATTAGGCACATGGATAAACTTGCTTGATTCTAACTCAAGTGTTTTCACTACAAATGTTCCCAACTTAACCTACTGCCTCTAGAGCTTTTAAGTCATTAAAATGGTGCCAGAGCAGCTGGGCATCACCTATAAAACAAAAAAAAACCTGTAAGGCCTTCCGTTAAAGTGTTTTACATTTATAAAAATGTATGGATCTGAATTATTTTCATTAGTACTGAATACTATGGTCTCTGTATCAAGCATGCTGCAAAGCACAATAATCCATCTTTAATGTGAGATTCACCCTCAAATTGTCAGTTAAGTGATTATTCTAAAGTTATCTATTCAAAGTCTTGATGTCCTAAGGTTTTCTCTCCTTTGCATTATCATCAAGACTACAAACAGTTCAGTTAGTGTTTTGCATAAAACTACAGTGATTACACGGTGATGTCCTAAAAATCCCAAGATTCAGCATCTGTATATTCAGGTAAGAATTTAACTTTCATGAAACTCTAGCCTTGCCAATTAAACCTAGCAAGTTATACATATTAAGTAACTAGAAATAAAGTAGCACCAGACAGATCTACTGGTAGTCGATCCAGATCCGGGCCGTTCTTTCCAGAGTCTAAAAACTACAAGAGCCTAAGTTTCTAACACCAAACCTTCCCATTTTGTCTTCTATTAAGACAAGTTTATTCCACGACATTTTTTTCAAGTTAGCTGTAAATACTCCACCCTCTCGATTGTGCAAGAACCAAATACACCACACACGCACAAATTAAGAGGAGAAATTCAGTCTGAGAGTTTAATTTAGGTTAACTCTTGGAAGCAAAGGATCTTAGAACTCCCTACAACCAGATAAACGGTTAACGCTTAACAGAGAACATTTTTCGTATTAGTAGAAAAGGAGATGCCAGAAAGAACCCGAACCAGTTAAAGCAGCCGCCATCTTAAAATGCGGGGTAGAAGTTAGAGTAAGAAAATGAGACTAAACCACCCGAGGTGGTGGTTCTGCTCACACTATACCTCTGAAAAACCCTAGCTTTTTTCCAACTTAAACCGACAACTTAACAAATCATACTGACCTGCTGAAACAAGCCCCCGTAAGGGTTCTAAGCAAAACAGTCGGTCCATCCAGTCTTCCTGCACTGTCAAACACCCCCACCCCCACCCCGCAGGGATCTCTCTGAAGGCATTTACATCAGTTCCCGGTGCCTCAGATAAATAGCTTCGGGTGAAAGCTGCGACCACACAACACAGGAAGTGGCAACAGTGCCACCTCCTCCCAACCCCACTTAGTCTTGTGTAACTGCCCAGATTGGGTTAGGCTTCTGGGCAGACTTCGTCACTACCTTTTAGCAAACCGAGGTATGTTTATAATACCCTGATCCTCAGTAAAGAAAGTTCGGAACAAAACGTTTTCTTTCTCATCTGTTTCGTTCCTTTCTTCCTAGAAGGCCTATAGCCACAATACAGCTAAATAAGTTTTGAAGAACCAAGAATAGGAAGCAGTACTATGACATCTGCCCGAGGGCCTCTACACAATTCCACTTCCCAAACCGGACTAACTCTTCTTCGTGAGGCCGAAAACCGAGGGGCCTAGAAGCCACGCTCCCTCGCCCATAACCTGCAGATTCTAGTAAAATTCAGCCTAACATTTCGCTTGCCAAAAGCACTCAGTTCCCCCCAACTTAAAGCTTATTTCATAAAGAACGCACGTTCGAGGCAGCCCGAGAAGAGGTATCTTCAGAATTGTGTCCCATTCCCACACTTTTCCTGGGGCCCAGCCTTCCTTTCTTCCCATGACCCCGTCCATATCATTTAGCCCCAACAATTTACCTTATTAATCCGTTTCAGCGCCATAGTCTGTGCTTTTCGCCGGGCTCCTCACTATCCCGATGTGTCCTCAAAGGTCCGGCCAAAAGTCTTGATCAGCCCGGCGGCGAGGAAGGATTGTCTCTTCTCACACCGGCTCTGCCAGACACAGGCGCCTTTTGCAAAAACGGAGCAGATCAGCCACTCGCCCAGGCCTCGGAGAGAAAAAAACCCTGCCGATTCCAGCGCCCGGAGAACCGTCGCGATCCGGGCAGGGCGGGGTAGGTAGCAAGGCCACCAACTACTTCTCTCCGCGGTTCGCCCCGAGAGGGCGAGGGTGACGGGAAGAGCGAGAAGAGGAGGAGGAGGAGGTTACAAGTTTAACTTCCCGGCCTCTTGAAAAGGAAGAGAGAGAGCCCCGGGTGGGAGAGGAAGAGGCGGAGGAGAAAGGGGTGGGTGCGGGGCAGGGTCCAGAGCCGGGCAGAGGAGGAGCCGGGGCCTAGTCGGCGCTAGGCCGGCGTCACTAGGGCAAAGAAAGGCGGAGGGGGAGGGGGAGCGGGCGGCTCCGGACCGGCGCCGGGCGCCTTTCGGTTTCTGCCCCGAAGGTCGGCGGCGGCGGGCGAGCAGAAGGCAAGGGGGCCCGTGGGCGCCGCCGTCCCCCCGCGGCTGGGGCTGGGTTCTGGGTCGCCCCTGACACCACCACCACCACCTTACTCCCCGCCTCACGGCGCGCTGCTACGTGCGCGCGCCCAGCCTCCTCCTCCTCCACCTCCACCACCACCACGCGCCCGGCGGCCGCGGAGCTCCGGCTCCGGCGCGAGGACGCGCCCATGTCCCCCCCCACCCCACCCCACCCCCCCCAGCC